CTGAACCCTGCAAGGACAAGGCAGTCCAGCACCTCCTCCCACAGCATTTTCCAAACAAAGAGACAATCTGAGCTCCATAAAATCCACAGTGCAAACACACCTCTGTGTGCAGGCACCTCCAGGTTGGCACAGGCTTCTAGTGTGCCTTCCAATCTGGGCATTTATCTACTTCTTAAGTGCTTCTCTTGGGTAGGTTTGATCTCCTTTTGCCCTGCATGCAGAACAAGTATAAATTGAAAGCAAGACAGTCAGGATTTGCATAGTGTGAGACTTGAGGTAACCAAAAGCTCTGATGCACTGGGTGCCTCTCTGCCTAACACTCTGCAGAGCAACCTCACACCTCGCTACATGGGGCTGGTGAGACACAGTCACACACAGCTCTGTCTGAAACACATCCAGGCGTGGACACATGGAAATCTGTGGAGTCACACTTAACAGACAGCATAAGAAAACCCCCCTCTTTTTACAGACACATCAAACCTACAAGTGCAGCCTACACCCACCTTGCTCTACAGATACAAAATGCATTTTTTTTTTTGGCCATCACTCAACTACAATTTGAAAATGCAGGTCAGGGCATTGAAGGAGCTTCTCATGCAAGAGAAACTGCTCTGTGAAAACACTGCAGAAATGCTGGACAGGACTGAGTGCATCACTTACACAAACCAGACAGCAATTTGGCTTCAAGTGATAAATTCAAAGTTTGTTTTCCCTTTTTTGGGGGACTTTACTCCTTCAGAGTTAAGAGCTTAGTAAAGGGCTTAAGCAATCATGCTGATAGGTCCTTAAGTTGCCATTTTTAATTTAGGAAGGATGTTTATTTTCCCCAGACCCAACCTAACTTTAAGGATTGCAACAGGCAGTCCCAATGATACAAACAGTCATTTTTGTCTCTTTTCAATGAACACACTAAGACACGTCATTCCTCAAAGCTGTGCCCTTGTGATGACAGTGTGAACCTTACACAAGTAGTGCCAATGCAGAAGACCTTGGGTACACGCAGACAGTGCAGATGTGTACTCAGGGATGGGTAACTGCTAAATGGTAATTTGTGCTGCTCTGGCAGATTTCTAATATGTTGATTTCTGATGTCTTTCCTCTAGTGGAGAATTCCTTGGATGAGACCCTGATAAGAAATGGTTCACCATCTCCCAGTATTCACATTTCTCAGAGCAGAAAGAAGAGATCTTCAGACCCCAGTGGCATGAACAAAGCCTGTGGCATTAAAAGGTCAGGAGGATGTCCTTAATTGACGAGCTGGAGAGCCACTTTTCTGCAACCCCCTACATGGTGACAGACACAAGCGAGGGAAGCCTGTTCGGAATCAGGTCCAACGCTTCCACCAATGCCACTGGTGATGGCACATCAGCCACTGGTTCCACGGAGGACATGATTGCCATCTGCACCATTGGGACAATCCTCTCCCTCATGTGTGTGATTGGGGTGACAGGCAACATCTACACCCTGCTGGTGATGTGCCACTACTTGCGGTCATCGGCCTCCATGTATATTTACATCATCAACCTGGCCCTGGCAGACCTGCTCTACCTTCTTACCATCCCCTTCATCGTTGGCACCTACTTCATTCAGAAATGGTACTTTGGGGACATTGGCTGTCGCATCCTCTTCAGCCTGGACTTCCTCACGATGCACGCCAGCATCTTCACCCTCACAGTCATGAGCACGGAGCGGTACTTTGCTGTGCTGAAGCCCCTGGACACAGTGAAAAGGTCCAAGAGTTACCGAAAGGCCATTGCTGTTGTCATCTGGCTGGTGTCACTGCTCCTCACTCTCCCAATGCTCATCATGATCCAGCTGGTGCAAAGGGACAACAAAAGCATCTGTCTGCCCACTTGGAGCAAGCTGTCCTACAAAGTCTATCTCACCATCCTTTTTGGTACCAGCATCGTGGGTCCAGGGGTAATCATTGGCTACCTCTACATCCGCTTAGCTAAGATTTACTGGGTGTCACAAACAGCATCCTTCAAGCAGACCAAGAGGCTGCCAAATCAAAAGGTGCTCTATTTAATCTTTACAATAGTGCTGGTGTTCTGGGCTTGCTTCTTGCCTTTCTGGATATGGCAGCTCCTCTTCCAGTATTATGAATCCTTCCCTGTATCTCCCAAGGTGATGAAGAACATTAATTATCTGACAACCTGTCTGACCTACAGCAACAGCTGTATCAACCCCTTCCTCTACACCCTGCTCACCAAGAACTACAGGGAGTACCTGAAGAACAGGCAGCGTTCCCTTAACAGCAGCAGTGGGTACTTCCAAAGGAGGAATCGGTTCCAGAGGATTTCAGGGAGATCCCTGTCCACGAGCAGTCAGCACTACACAGAGACATATGTTCTTGCTCACGCTCCTTTGGCAAACAGCACTGCCTGAAGGTAAAATATATCTCCAAGAACAACCAGTATTGACTTCAATGTTGCTTTGATTTAAGGTGTGCATTGTAAAGGCAAAGTCTGGGCAGATCCATAAGGTGCACACACGTAGTCCAGAGGCTGTGCCGTGTGTCTGTTCTTGTTTTTTTCAGTGCCACTGATTTGATGCTAGTGATATTCAACCAAACAACTGTCTAAATAGCCTTCCACTTTTTGTCTTTCTATTTTACACTGTCTCCTCAAGTAGCCATCAATAATGCAAGCTGTAATAGGGCCATGGTTTTTAATAGTATCAGCTGTTTCATAGAGTTTCAATTTATGTTATCCCATGAATGGCTGTAGTTTGCTCTTTCTTAAGTAGTGATGCTAAATTTGTAGTTGCATGAGGTCTGCAAACAATGAAATAAAGACAAAACAGGTGATGTTTGTGACATGCAATCCAGTTTGAATTTGGAGTAGGACTGGACAATGTAGATGAAGTGTATCCAGGTGGGTTTGTCCTGGTGTTTGTCATTCATACTTATTCTACACTTATGTCTATGCACTGGGCTTGATTCTTCACTCACACAGGTGTCTGTAGTGCAGTTACAGCACCATTTATTTCAGCAAGACAGGCTTCCCATGACAGGGAACACTCAGCATCCCCCAGCATGCTGACCCCAAACACATGAACATCCATGTCGAGGAGCATCATCTGTCCTGGACAAGTGTATCTGCCTTCTGCACTTCTCCAAGGAGGAACTGGGAACCTCTGATGTTGTTATTCTCCAGGCATCCACCAACAAACTGCAGCATCCAGCCTGAGGGACCAGACCTACAAGACTAAGTCCAGCAGGCAAGGACAGAGGGAGAAGAAGGGGGGTGTGGAGATGTGATTTCCAACGGGCAAAGCTATGCTAGGTGAAGTCCTTAATGTTCTCAATTTCAAAAGCACAAGTTCCCTATTAGAGAGATAACGTGTTCTGTTTGCAGGAGATTATTTTGTTTACTGCTACAAAAAGTGACTGTAGTTCTGCTTCCACCAGGAACATGTTGCCTGCTCCGGCTTTCACTGATGATAAAAGCATAATTACTATAAATACATCCTCCATGATGTCTGGCACTTCTCCAGTGAGTCTAAAAGTACCTTCTCTGGGATGCTGCCAACATCCCTACCGGAGTCCTCTGCTTCCATTAGCCCCGTTACCTCATTAGCAAGAATACCATGATGCAAAGCCAACACAACACTAAGCAAGTTACAGAATTAGAAGCAAATTAATGCTTAGCAGTAAATTCAGAACTGCGGCATGAGATGCCTTTTGGCAGTGAACTCTGTTTGCTTCTACAGAAACTGAATTAAGGTTTTAACCATCTCTTCCCCTTCAAGGCACTTAAAATGGTCATTGCTCATGGGGACAATGGAAGTTCTGCTTTTAGACCTCCTGGGTGATAGAGTTGGAAAAGAAATTGCCTCTTCCATGCACAGGCTTAAAGTTTGTTACAAATGGGGACGATTGCATAAGTCATGAAAGGGGCTCTTGTGCCTGCAGTTTCAACCTCGAACTGCTGCAGACACTGGAAGACACTCACTTTGGGTCTCCACACCCACCATCTGCAGTGGTCCTGCAGGTCAGGACACCACAGCTGCACCTGCTTGCAGTGCAGTACACTGACCAGCGAGTCCTACTTCAGGATTAATGCCTTCCTGGTTTCAGAGGGGCAGGAAGACCATCATGTTTGGTTATTTCCTACACCGAGTAGGAAATACTTGTAAATTTTCAGACTCTCCTCAGGCTGGAGTCAAAGCTCTTTGTAGAGAGTAAAACATCATGCGCCCCACCATAAGGAAGAGGGAGCTCCAGGATGGGCAGTGAACAGGCTTGCTGTATTCATGAGCCCATTTTCCACTTAGATAGTCAGGTGTTTATCATGGGACAGAATGTAAAATCTAGCCTCTGTTTTTTTTGAAACTGCAATTTTAACTTGGTGAGAAAGAGCCAGATAAGGTCAAGATAAGCTCAGCACAAGCAGTTTCCATCTCTCTGAAGGAAACCTATTGCAGGCTGAGCCTTTAGAAAGCACAGTCCATCTTTCCTAAAATCAAATAGTCTAAATGAGAGGGCAGGTGGCAAATCTCAAGTCACCCAGGTATTTCAAACCAACAAGGACAGTGCAGAAGAGTTACCGAAAGATATGGGAGCAAATCTAATCAGCCAAACCCCTTTGTCCCAGCCATACTGCTCTTATTAGCTCCTCCAAGCCCACCCCAGCCAATATGTCTCACAGAGGACACCTGCAGAATGCCTGCCATGGCTCTGTAGGTGCCACAAGCACCCTGCAAGCATGATGAGCAAGGTGCTGTAGAAGCAGGACCATGTCAGATGTTTCCATCAATAGTGGGCCATCTTTGAATGATGAGATGTTTCTTTCAAGCCTTTCAATTTCCACCCAGGCTGCATTTTTTTGCTGCTTTAAACATGCATCCAGCACCACTCAGCACAGGCAACAATAAATGAATATTATTCCAAGGCTAGAGGTAAAAGCAAGGCTCTGAGATGTTCACAAGCGACATGTGTCCCAGCTCTGCACCCCCAACTAACTATGAGACATCAGCCACACTCAGATACCAAACATTAGGCAGCTGTCCTCTTCCTGATACCAACCAGCAACTCAACCACCAGAGCCTGCTGA